TTTACGTAAAATTAGAAACGCACCGAAAATTTCGGTACTAGTACTAGTACACTTATCTGGAAAACGGGTTTACCGAAAATTTCCCTCAACCGAACCACCGATTTTGGAGAACACAAAAAAATTACACCGAAAATTTCTGCTTTTACAGTATGACATTTTGATTTTCCATGCAGGCGCATAGGGTCAACTATGCCACTTGACTGAGTCTAGTGAGTGATATTTTCTCACTTCCCGGCCCCTATACCCTTCTTATGATCACAGTATCTGCCAGCATGGATGGTGAGGATTGTCACCTGGGTGATGTCAGAAACATTTCAGCGTTGCATTGAATCACATTGCCGCGTTGGTTTTTTTTATGAATATAGAGTAATCTTCTTACTCAAGTGGTAAGGGATAGTTCGTGAATGAGAGCGAGTTGATGGGGCTTGCAATCACGCCTTCAACAGTGCTAGTTTTAGGATATCAGTGCTTCTGGTATTAGTTTTAGATCTGATAATGTTCATTAGCCCCATCCCTCACACAAACAAGTCAACAAAGAGGCATCTTTGGATTGAGGAGTGCTGGTTTCGAAACAACTGGTTTGAAGCTCAAAGTAGAGCTGGTGTTAGCTCAGAGCAGAGCTGCTGTTAGCTCAGAGCAGAGCTGCTGTTAGCTCAAAGTAGAGCTGCTGTTAGCTCAAAGTAGAGCTGCGGTTAGCTCAAAGTAGAGCTGCTGTTAGCTCAAAGTAGAGCTGCGGTTAGCTCAAAGTAGAGCTGCTGTTAGCTCAAAGTAGAGCTGCTGTTAGCTCAAAGTAGAGCTGCTGTTAGCTCAAAGTAGAGCTGCGGTTAGCTCAAAGTAGAGCTGCGGTTAGCTCAAAGTAGAGCTGCTGTTAGCTCAAAGTAGAGCTGCGGTTAGCTCAAAGTAGAGCTGCTGTTAGCTCAAAGTAGAGCTGCTGTTAGCTCAAAGTAGAGCTGCTGTTAGCTCAACGTAGAGCTGCAATGCTAAATGGATGTAATAATAGCGCAAGGCAGAGCCGCAGCAAATAGCTAGATAACACCAGTTGTGAGAGTGGACCCGATTAGTGGGTACGATAATTATGATGGTGTGAATAAGTTGGATAGGGAGGGATGGTGGGAAAAGAAACACTGCTGAAGCACGATCCGTTGTCTGGAAGAGCACAACAGGGCAAGCAAGATTTGTTTTTCTTTTCCGCAAAATGGGCTGGTGCCATTTGTGATTACGCAGCAAAACAAAGCGCATGACGTCAGTCTTGAATGCAGTACAAAGCAATGCAGTGCAGTGTGTGCGCTAGTTCGGATTGTTGCTAACAAGTACTAGCACAGCTAGTACACCATTAGCCCCATCCCTCACACAAACAAGTCAACAAAGAGGCATCTTTGGATTGAGGAGTGCTGGTTTCGAAACAACTGGTTTGAAGCTCAAAGTAGAGCTGGTGTTAGCTCAGAGCAGAGCTGCTGTTAGCTCAGAGCAGAGCTGCTGTTAGCTCAAAGTAGAGCTGCTGTTAGCTCAAAGTAGAGCTGCGGTTAGCTCAAAGTAGAGCTGCTGTTAGCTCAAAGTAGAGCTGCGGTTAGCTCAAAGTAGAGCTGCTGTTAGCTCAAAGTAGAGCTGCTGTTAGCTCAAAGTAGAGCTGCTGTTAGCTCAAAGTAGAGCTGCGGTTAGCTCAAAGTAGAGCTGCTGTTAGCTCAAAGTAGAGCTGCGGTTAGCTCAAAGTAGAGCTGCGGTTAGCTCAAAGTAGAGCTGCTGTTAGCTCAAAGTAGAGCTGCTGTTAGCTCAACGTAGAGCTGCAATGCTAAATGGATGTAATAATAGCGCAAGGCAGAGCCGCAGCAAATAGCTAGATAACACCAGTTGTGAGAGTGGACCCATGAAACCAGCACTCCGTTAGCTAAGCACTATTGACGCACAGCAAGGGTCAATTTATGTCAGCACAGGCAAGCATTGCGCAGCTAGAGTTCAGTAGCTCATTACTCACCCGAGTTGGGGATCATGGCATCCATGGCACGGCAGCAAGCCGGGACGATAGCTGGCGCTTAGCGCTTGTTGTAGTCCGGATGTAGCATAGACACGCATCGCTCTTTCCACTGACCTGCCACTCGGAAGAAGGAGTCGGGGCACTAGCCATAGCAGCGGTGGTGGCTGCACCAATGTGGACCGAATGCCCGGAGTAGTTCGACTGGGATGGTACACCGGCCGCAGCGACAAGAGACCATACTGTTACTGTGAATGACTGCCTGGTCAGCTGCTGTCTGTTCGAGAGTACGAACAAGAGTTGCTCTGGTCCCTCGCGACGAGTGACAAATGGGTAGCTAACAATGGCACGGACCGGGCAGTACGGCGGTACAGACGGGCCAATGTCACTAGTAACGCCTTTACCGAATGGGTCCGTCTTGGATGAAAGCAGGAAGAGTTGCAGGCGTCCGTCACCAGGGGAGCTAGTACAGCCCCGTGTGATGCCATTAGTGAATTCAGCACACCGAAGAAATCCAAAGAAGCAGCATGGCGGCTTGGTAGAGCAGCTTGTCATGGCCATTCAGGATACTACTTTTCCGGCGTGCATCCGTCAGGTGTCGTAGGATTGGCATAGTTATAGGAAGGCGAGGGGTGAGTACAGCCGTACCATGGCATCGCTGGATGCCCTTCAACACCCTCTCCAGAAGCCTCGCATCTACTAAGGGGCCGGCAAACCCATTCTCAAGGTGGGCTTTATGCACCGCACTCGCATACACAGATACAGTTCAGGGCACGCTGATCATAGTTCACGCATGAATGTGTGTCCAGGAACGATGACTCGGGCAGCAAAAGTGAGCTTCCCCAGGAGGGACTCGAGTTGACGCTGGCCGATGCTGCGCTCGCTGATAGTAGCCATGAGTGGCGCACGGATCTCGGACAGCTTGTCCTCTGGTAGCCGCAGTCTAGGAAAATACCAAGGAAGGTCAATGATGGTGATGGCCCTTCGAGCTGGGATGGAGCAAAGAGGAGTGCCGAGATACGTGAATGCCCGGAGGGGGATGGTGAGTTGCTGGTTGGCTGCAGCCAAACCAGTGGAGATATCGAGAAAGTCATCGAGGTAATGAAGCCGGTGATCTATAGCAAACTCGTGCTGCATGATCCAGTTGACTGCTGTGGCTACTGAGTCAAAGACGGCTGGGCTGGAGCGGAGGCCGAAAGGCAGAAAGCGCTCCTAGTAGTAGGAGCCTTCCCAGCGAAGTCCTGACGGCGGACTGGGATCTGCCGAAATGCACTGTGTACGTCGAGCTTGGACAAATACACAGGCTGTGGGCATGACATGATGATGTTGATCGCGTTGTCAATGCTCGCGTAGTGCAGAGAGAGAGCGGCTCGGCAGGAATGCTGTCGTTCGCGCCGGTGCCTTCCGGACTAGACAGATGGTGGATCATTCGCAGCTTGCCGTTCTTTTTGGGGATGGCACCAATACCAGAGCGGCGCATGAACTGAAATGGAGGTGACGGAAATGGGCCTGTGGTCTCGCTGCGGGCGCAGGAAGCAGCTAATTGCTTGGATATAAATGCCGAGTGAGTGAAAGCCAAGGGTAGATTATTAGAGAAAACCGAAATGTCGTGTTGGCCGGCAGATCCAAGAGTAAAGCCACGGCGCAGGCCATGGAGAACATACACAACACATTATTGATATGAGTGGTTACGTAACAGGCGGGCAAAGTGGGCAGCTAGCAGTGTGGTGTCTGCAGAGTGTATAGGAAAGAAGCTACGTACCGAGTCAAGCTATTCAGTAGCCATTCTGCTAGGAGCGGCGGGGTGGCCGATTGGCTCCGCGCTGCTGCTGGTTGCACATGATGCATGGGTGGTCCTTGCCACACTGGCTGCAGGTGTGGGAGAAGCGGCACGACGACGAAGAACAGCGACCTCCATTGAAGTTGCGGCAGATTTCTTGGCCGTCGCTGGTATGGTTGCGACCACTGGAGGTAAATGCTGCTGGCTTGGGGACGAAAAGGACACAAACCGCCCCTGGATGGGCCGTCTTACATTGAGCGCATTTTGGGTGTGCATGGCCTGTGACAGCTATCTGCCATAGGTTCACGTCGATGGTGTCCAACCTCTTCGTGCCTGGTTACTGGGCCACGAGCAGCCGCAGCTGGCGGTCGTACTCTAGCCACGCGCTTGGGAAGAACTGGCGGTTAGCAGTCAGGATCAACTGCTGGTACGCAATCAGTTCAGCAGTTCAGCAGTGCGGTGTAGGGCAGCAGCCGTGATAACAGACATGTATGTGGTCCATGCCTCGAGCCGGGTAGCTACATGTATAATTATCGTGAACCTTGCGACGCACCTGCTTCGCGTACGGTCATCCGACTCAACGATATTTAGCTGGCTATCGTTATTCGGGCTGTGAACCAGCCGGAATGTTGGGCCGGAAGTGTGCAAGAATTTCAAGCAACAAACTTGAAAAATCTACGAACTCCCCTCGCAAGATACGTTCTTGCACAGCCTTGGGCACAGCTGGTGCAAGTGGCTGATCGGGTGGGTTACAGGAGCTTGGCCTGGCGTAGTGGCGGCAGCAGCCGCATTGCCTTGGCCTTGGGTGAGGAGCGGTACAATGCTCTCCGATAATAATAAAATGGCGGCCGACAAAGCCGACTACACCTCGTCACGTAGATCTACGGGAGCGCAGAGATCCGTTGAGCCCGCGTCACCTGAGCTGGCGGAGGAGGCATTGGTGCAAGTCGGGCTTCTGGGCTCGCGAGCCGTGTCCGCACTGTCAGTGTCATGTTGCTGGTTCTCCTGGCCGGAGCAGACCTCACTACCAAGGGCTAGTTGTGCCAGCAAACGGCCCTGTAAAATACTTTTACTAAGTTTCCTTTCGGATTCAAGCCGCGCTGAGAAGGCTCGCCGCGGGGGCTTGGCAAGGCATTGCCTTGGCAGTGTCGACAGTTAGGTCAGACATACTGAAGAAATACAGTGTCGAGGTGACACTCGGGCTGGCAGCAAAGCTACGAAAGGAAAAGAAACACTGCTGAAGCACGATCCGTTGTCTGGAAGAGCACAACAGGGCAAGCAAGATTTGTTTTTCTTTTCCGCAAAATGGGCTGGTGCCATTTGTGATTACGCAGCAAAACAAAGCGCATGACGTCAGTCTTGAATGCAGTACAAAGCAATGCAGTGCAGTGTGTGCGCTAGTTCGGATTGTTGCTAACAAGTACTAGCACAGCTAGTACACCACTTGATGGAACCATATAAACATTTCCTTTGTAGTGCTACTCTCAGTTACATTTCTATTCGCATTTTTTTGTGATGGATTCTTAGATTCATGCCGCCATCGCAAAGATGTCAACGTTATGAAATACTCCAAGCTGAGTCTTGTTGTATCGCTGTTTTCAATGCTATCGCGCCTCTCTAGCTGTGTTTGGTCTTGTGCAGGTTGTAAGAGTATAGCCAGAGTAGAAGGCAAAGTGCCTACGTCCGATTTTATCTACTTCAGCATACGCAGCAGTCACAAAGTTCTTATTTTCTTCACAAGTGCAGTGTCATCAACATCTCCTTCCCTGTGAGTGGCACAAGCGCTGGGGAGAGGGAAGGTAAGTTGAATTTCTTGTACTTCATTGTCTGTTCGCTGTTTTTTTTCAAAATGCCAACCCGGATGGGCTGTCTATATAAGTTAACTCGCCTCCACTCCCACCTAATTATTCGGAATGCAGACAAAAGTAACAGGAGTAGGCAATGGTTCAATACCTCGGTTTTGTATTTGCATGTTATATCCAGTGATGATGTATCTGGCGCCCACTCATACACCTGAGATAAAAGAAATAAAAAAATAAGCACACATCCAGGAGTCATCCACTGTACCACAGTCCACCCACCTGAGATGCCGGGGACTCTGGGGTGTGATGCCTAACACAGCCAGTATGAGAATGCAGTTTGAAAGGTACATGTACGTGTAGACTGACTGAGAGGCTGAGTTCGGCAAGCTTTCAACTACTAGTAAGTTATCTGCCGGGTGTGGAGCTGAGCTGCAGTTCAATGCACGTATAGTGTTATGTGTTTTTGGATCAAACTTGCGGATTGGAGTAATGGTATCTAAGCCCGTAGCAGCAACATTCCCACTGGGCCCGGCTGCAACTTTGCTTGTACAACGCACTACAACACTGCACCAGCTTCTTCTCTCAAATGGGAAGCAGCTCGTACATACTTGCTTGGGAACTGCCCATACACATAATACATATGATGCAGAGCCTGAGCACTGAACTACATCCACAATTCTCCAACGCCCCAGGACAGATGGCGGCGGAAAAGCTAGAAAGCTACAACAAAGAGCCAGGATGTGATTGTTTTCAGTCGTATTCATTTTGTTGAGACATCCGTGTTTCCCTTACCCTGTTTACAGCTATGTACATACAGATAGTACGGTCCCTGGACATCTCATCAAGGTTGCAACCCGACGCCAGGCCACTGTTCAAGATACTCATCTCCGTAGTATTTGTCACGTTGTAGAAAGATCCTGGAGCAGGCAGTGAAGTCACACAGTTCAGAGTAAGATTGAACTTCGGGTCATGATCGCCACAGGCTTACATTAGCCACCCTACACCTATGGCTTCTGCCCTGTTCACTCATTCAGCTACAATAGGTAGTTAGTTAATATCAGTGATTTTTCATCTCCATGTACGAGGGAACTCATGATGACTGCTAACACCCAGAATAACCCAATAGACTGAAGTGATGTCATTGATATCACAACCATTTGAACAGGGCTAAAGGCTGTCCTGTGCTTGAAGAGGAACACAAATATTCATGTTCTGGCATACACATGAATGATAGCGAGCGTTGGCTGGTTCGGGTCAAAGTCAAACAAACAGGCACATTTGCCCGATTTCATATTGACTAACTAAGTTTGCAACTGGAAAGAGAAGAGGAAAAGAATGTAAAGGCAGTAAGAGGGGAATACGAGGAATGAAAGCAGATAGTGGCGCACAGAAGAGCAACTGTTGTTGTGATGTCCCAGGGACTTACGCTATTAGTAGTACTATGGGTCTGCAGGGTGATAGGTAATGGTTCAAGCGTGGTGTTGTAAGCTGGCTGGGGTTCATCATATATGTGTGTGTGTGTGTGTGTGTGTGTGTGTGTGTTGCTTTGGACAATGGTGCTCGGGCCGTTCCTTTGTCTGAGTCCCAAATTGTACCGTGACACCATGTGTTCCGTATGTCTTGTCTTTTTGTAAATATAAACAGGGCAGATTCTGCTGTCATCGCCACACTACAACAAAGTCATGAAGGTTTACCAAAATCGATTTTCTTGTCACAATCATCAGTGGAAAGCCGTGACTGAAGAATCTTTGAGGAATACTCTTTCTATTGCTAATGAGTGATATGCACGGGCTTTGTGCACCCGCTTCTGGATGGAAGTAGGGCACACTCCATTTTCCTTACAGCGTTTCAAGAAGATAATATTATGTGAAATGGCTCCCCGCATGCTAGTTTGTACGTGAAGTGTGTGGGTTACAGTTACAGTGAGGGCTGCGTCCTGCCTGTGTGGATTCACAGGAAGTGTGAGTTACGAAGTCTGAAGACAGTGTTGAACGGTCTCTATTGGGATGACGACTACACCATAGCTCAGTGGTTAGAGCATCGCTAGCTACAAGCGAGGGTCCCTGGTTCGAGTCCTGTTGGTGACAGTCAATTTTTTCTTCAGACTTTTCCCGTTTGTGTCTTTCCCCCAAACCAGTGAATATTTTACGACTTGGGGCTCCCTGCGTGCTAGTTTGTACGTGAAGTGTGTGGGTTACAGTTACAGTGAGGGCTGCGTCCTGCCTGTGTGGATTCACAGGAAGTGTGAGTTACGAAGTCTGAAGAAAGTGTTGAACGGTCTCTATTGGGATGACGACTACACCATAGCTCAGTGGTTAGAGCATCGCTAGCTACAAGCGAGGGTCCCTGGTTCGAGTCCTGTTGGTGACAGTCAATTTTTTCTTCAGACTTTTCCCGTTTGTGTCTTTCCCTCGAACCAGTGAAAACAGTGCTAGCTGACCAGTGATTACGTTCCAAGTCATAAGACTGTCACAATGTTGTCAAATCGGTTCCACTTTGTACTAGGATTGTGTGGCACTAGCCTCTAGACGAGGAAGAACATGTCCACACATGCTAAAGCAGTGGTTGAGTTCTCAGATACGGAACATAACCTAACCATATTTGCTATAGTTATCTTGTGGACAGGGTGCTGTATTCTCCGGCCCCACATCAAACATGTTCATAACTCAGAGCGCAGAGGACTGCAAGTCCTGCAAAGCTAGAATCCACTTCCTTCAACAAGCCAAGGTATATGTACCAACATTCGACGAAAGTACCGGTAGTGTACTGCGTTCTTAGTACCTTCCAAAAATGCAGCAGTGGCTGATTTCAGATTCGCGTTCAAACCACCTACTGAAACGCTCATCTTTGTGGCAGCAGGATTCAAACCTGGACATGAACAGCAGGCAAATACAAACATGGTAACATATAGACACCGTAGTTCATTGCACCTGGCAGTCCAGTGCTTATCACACTGACAAGAATCTGTCTGAGACTCTATGTACATGTGTGTTAACACAAGCGACAGTGTTCTGCTTCGAACTATGTAGCCTATAACATGCTATGGTTGCTTCTGAATATGACATTGTATTCTTGCTTTGTCCATGACTGACACACACACCACCATACTACCACCGTGACCCTACAAGTACATACTACATATCCCATGGCCACCATGGGATAAATCATAAATAAGAACAAGTAGGAACCAGCAGTGAACTGGACAGAAAGACAGACAGACAGACCGACAGTCAGACATTGCAGCGGGAGAAAGCCGGACCGCCTTAACAGGAGCAAGACTAGACCAATTGATATTTTTCTCTATGTATTTATTCAAGCCCTGGTTTTGTTCATTCCCTCCCTTATAACAACCATCCTCTCCCTCATCCCTCAAATATCATTCTGCAGAAGACAATGTCGAAAAACTAAAATATGTCAGTATCATTATTTTGGTCTAGCCTTGCTCCTGTTGTGTGGTCCGGCTATCTTCCAATGCATTGTATGAATCCCTTGGCTAGACCGGTGCTGGCATGTCATCTTATGGGTATCAAGTATCAAGCTGTTGCGAGGCAGAGAGAGGGAGAGAGAGAGAGTGAGGGGGGGGGGAGAGAGAGAGAGAGAGAGAGAGAGAGAGAGAGAGAGAGAGAGAGAGAGAGAGAGAGAGAGAGAGAGAGAGAGAGAGAGAGAGAGAGAGAGAGAGAGAGAGAGAGAGAGAGGGGGGGGGGGGGAGAAGCAAGGGGGCTGTTGCGTGCAAAGAGGGTGGTGGCTGATGAAGTGCGCCAAATCAATGAAGTGAGCAAACACTGTTGGCGACGATTATGATTCCACACTCAGTTCCGTTGCCATCGTATGCACTGACCTGGTCGATCTATGAGGTTGGTATACTTGGGTACCTGTTCGGGTACAGTCTCCAGGAACAGAATGAGGGCTGCAATCCAAAAACCGGCCAAGCATACGTAGAAGATGAAGTAGAAAATTCCAATTTCACCTTGACACAAAGCAGGGAAAGCATCACAAAATAACTGTGGTCATTTGTATGAAACTTTAAGTCATAAACTCATAACCATGTCCACCCCTGCAACAAAGCCACAAAAAAGAGAAGATGCGCACTAAAAGAACAGCCAACTACAACTTGTACAGTCATGGCCAAAGAAATCCGACCCGCAAGTCAAAAGTAGCGCCGCGTTTCCACTTCAATGACATCATGCATGTTCCCAAAACTGATCCGCAGCGCAGCAGGGCTGCAGCGGTCGCATGAGCCTTGGCGCTGCTTTCGGCACGTGGGTTGGATTTCTTTGGCAACGACTGTACTGGTCGAATTGTTTTGCACGTATCCTTTCCTTTGTTCTACTCTCTTTTCCCTGGTTCTCTAGCATATGACACTCTTTCCACAAGATCCTATCAACAGGCATTTAGTGCCTACGAAATCCTCAGAATTCAATAATGAATCCTTTCCATGGAGCTTGAGGGGAAAACATGAGTGTTCCCACCAGGAGTCGATCCAGGGACCTTCAAGCAAATACAGCGGGAAACTGATTCAATTTATCTAGCACTTTGATTCACATACCCCAACTCTTCTTGTCACGCCCAAGAACAGTTCTATTGACTGGGTCCCATGCAAAGTCCACGAATCGATCTTTCTGCTCCAGAAGGTCATATTTCCGCGTTTCCCAGAACGTCTCCTCCTCAATTTCTTCCTCGTCCCCGTCGTGTTCAGGTACACGCTGATGCACCCCGCTGGAGCTGGTCCCGGGAGCAGCAGCGACTTGAGATCTGTTGCTGCTAGCCATGGCTTTCTCCCGAGGAACAGTGTCCGATACTTGAAGTGATCAGTCTGTTCCGCTCTGTCTCCGAACTAACAGCGGTCCAGTAAAGAAAAGGCTTCCACTGTGGAAATAAAAAAGGAACGAAACAGCGGTTCAGTCAATCAACGACAACCGCATGCAGGACTTAGATGCTCAACTCCGGATAGGTTGAAATAATTGTGCAAAAATAGCATGACCGCTCAGTGGGCAGGATCAGAGAAAGCGCAGCATACCCCGGCCTACTACGGCTACGACTTCGTCAGTTCGTGTTCGGTCGACCAGGTCGACAGGCAGCAGGAGAAGATGCTAAGGACAGGTCAAGCCTTCTCACTCATCCCATGCCCAGTCTAGCAGTTCGGTTTACCACATAACTAGTGTTCATACTGATACATGTAGATCTACGCATGCGGCATGGTCATTGCCATTGGTGGCATGGTCTTATCTACGACTTGTAGATCTACATGGCTTTTGGAGTCATACGACTCCCTGATTTATTATGAAGCCAGAAGGTAGTACAGGTAGACTCCCTCTAATTCGAATACGGTATAATTCGAACATTCCGTGAAATTCGAACTTTTTCGTCGTACCGATCTTCTGCAAGTCACTTCAAGTCAAAATCGAATGCATAATTCGAAGTACGAAAAGTGCGCCGGTTGGATAATTCGAACACAGTCTTCGTACAGAAGAGCTGTTTTAGTACATTGGCTATGTCCTTTGAACGCTTATTTCGAAGTAAGATTGAGTTGCTATACTTGTAATTCGAAGTTCATTCTTTTCTCCTTCTCTAGCCAAGAGTAGCTCAAAAAATCGATCGATGGTCTGCTGCAGGATCTATATATATACTATAGCGTTCAAGTAACCCACCTTCTCTCAAAATTCGATTCAAGCCCGTGCGAGGCAAATTGCAAAGGTTTGATTGAAGACGACTTCTTCCAGGTGGCTGACCAGTCTCTTCGCGGATCTCGATGGCCTTTCTTGCCGCGCCAGCTCGTGCGCGGAGATTTTGGCGCACAACAATACTATTGTCGTGAATATTGTCTATGCCTATGCTCCACTTCCGTTCTTCAGAACGACGTGCTGCTGTCCGACGGCCTTTCATGACGCGGATTAGGCAGCGCAGTTCTTTTCCGTTGAAATTGTTTCAGGAAAGCTGCAGTGACTGACAACTCCTTCACTAGAAGGTGAAGATAATTTCAATGATTTTGTGTCGATCCAGTGTTTTGATGATCCGTTGTACATGACTGGTACGACAACCTATGTTTCGTTGATGCAAATAAAAATTTGCCAAAAATATTCAGCATGCGATTTCAAGCATTTTGACATGCATATCAGTGCATGGGTCCGCATTTGGATAATTAGAAGTTCCGGATATTTCGAAGTTAGGGCCTGGCAATTTGAGGTTCGAATTAAAGGGAGTCTACCTGTATGGCCGTCAATCATCATGTCTGGTGCATGCGATGCCGGTGCAGTGGGAGACTGTCCATGATTGACCATGGACCATGGTCTGTGATGACGGACTAGACAGAGTCAGTCAAGCTGCACTGTAACTTAGTGTTGGTACGATTTCAAAGTGTGCTACAGAAGCTGAGAACATAAAACTGGATGGAGTCGATTGTAGACCATGATGACTGTGAGTGTGGGTGTGATGAGACACGACGGCATAGCAGACATTTGGCTTTGCTCTCCACTAGGCACTACATTACGTCGTACTAGTACTAGCACTGCCACTGGAATCCAACGATCTCGTGACTTCAACACTGACTAAGTAAGTGTGGACATCACGGGAGCCCCGCGGTCTTGCCTGCTGTCTTCTGTGGACAATGGTGAAGTGTAGCAGCTGTACAAGTTATGGAATGGCTGGGTCGGGACATCACCAGCCTCGTCTATACAGAGAGCACCTTCTCACGACAGTGTCATGGTGGTGACAGTAACTGTTGTCAGCTGACGAGCTGATAGATGGACGCCATGGGCAGAAGTTGGAAAAAGAAAGAAAAAAGAGTATGAAAGAGAAGAAAGAAGAACAATTAATTATTTAGAACAAAAGCTACTAAGTTTATGAGGACCGAGTATCCAGAGGACATCCAGGAGCGAACAGAGAATACACAACTGACGATACAGCAACAAGAAGTCTAAGACAACTCCCTAGAGTAAAAGGGTCAGAACCGGGTCTAACACCCATACGGTTCAGATGGTCGCAAGACCGGGGTTATACCAACCGTGTGGATGGTTGTAGAAGGGTCACTGTTTCCGAACACGGTGGTCCTCCACCTTGTTACATGCTGTCATCCAACAACAAGGAACGTTATGGTAGATAAGTCGGTTTGGCAGTGACGCCAAAAGTCCACCAGATCACTGCAGCAGTATGGACCGGGCCAAGGTCAAGGAGGTAGGAGGAAGTCGTGAAACCTCATTCTCTGGTAGACTTACCAACACACGTAACATTTTACAACTAAATTACTTACAATGTCAGAAGTAGGGGTTGGTGCGACTTCGGCGATACTTGGGGAATTGTGCCGAAGTCGCACCAACCTCTTCGTCACATTGCTGTCCCCAGCGCGTGCTTGCGAATTAGATGGTTTGGAGGCTACAACGTTGTGAATGGCCAATGGTCCTCAGCGTTTGTTCAACACCTCCATGAGCGACGCTGACTCACGTTGCTACCTGAGGCACAATCTTCCTCAGCCTCAGACTCAAGTCAAGCTCAACTGATGAGGGTGGGCATTCACCGTGCATTCCCCGCCGCACTGTGTATTGAGCAGGGAGTGGCGCTTTCTTGCGGGGCCTCCGAAGTCCTAACCCTTTAGTAGGCTTTACCATGCAGACCACCAGCGCTGATCAGGGACATAATCATTGCACACACTTGTGTAGCCTACATACTAGAACTGTACTGTAGTCTGTAGTACGATCATTATTGACAATAGAGTCTTAGAGAGGTTTAGCACAACGAAATTCGTCTGAATTTTCGTTAGATTTTGAAGCCCGGGAACGAGTAACGAAACTTGCCACGAACTTCGGAACACACACTCGCGGAAAACATCAATCCAACGAAGTTTGGTCTGTCGACTTTTCGTACCGCGATCACATAAGATTATTTCCTTAAAGGGGAAGTATACCCTAAAATCAAATTTTCACCAGTTGTAGTCTTCGGGGTGCTGAGTCGAATGGTCTTGGTCCGAGGAAGCTGCGACGCTCCTTTCCTACTTGAATCCCAATCGAACTCGCGCACTTCCACCGAAACTGGGTGACTGCGCCCTACTAGATGGGGATTTGTATGCAAAATGCCACTAAAAGCGCCATTTCGTTCTTATAAAAGCACGGATGACCGCGATTGGCCCATATGTTGTAGTCTTTTGGACGCTGAGTCGACTAGTTTTGGTCCGAAAAGGCTGCGATGCAGCGCTCCTCCTTTATTCCCAATCGAACATGGTTGAACAAGCGGTCACGTGCTCCTGCGTACACCAGTCACCTGGTCACCGTGCCTGCAGGGTACAACTTACTAGCCTGTTTGACCTTTTTTGGGTGCAGTCCTGTCACTCGAGTTGAACTCGAGTTGAACCTTGGTGTGAAAGTTGTCGCCTGCTGGCGCGGTGACCAGGTGATTTGGGCACCCAGGAGCACGTGACCGCTTGTTCAACCATGTTCGATTGGGAATAAAGGAGGAACGCTGCATCGCAGCCTTTTCGGACCAAAACCAGTCGACTCAGCGTCCAAAAGACTACAACATATGGGCCAATCGCGGTCATCCGTGCTTTTATAAGAACGAAATGGCGCTTTTAGTGACATTTTGCATACAAATCCCCATCTAGTAGGGCGCAGTCACCCAGTTTCGGTGGAAGTGCGCGAGTTCGATTGGGATTCAAGTAGGAAGGGAGCGTCGCAGCTTCCTCGGACCAAGACCATTCGACTCAGCACCCCGAAGACTACAACTGGTGAAAATTTGATTTTAGGGTATACTTCCCCTTTAAGCCTATAGTTCACATTCGACGCAACGCCGACGGTACGGGACGTACGAGGTGATTTGTAAAAATTTTACATGGCATATTATTTTACAAATCGAGTAAAATATCACTGTTGAGGACGATTGCATTCTTCCCATGAAGTGTTTTTGTTAGTTCGACAGACAAGTGAGTTGCCATTGTAATGTAGTTTGTAAGCATCAGCAGCGTTTAGCGGAATTGTTTTCTTCCACGGCCTTGTGAGATGTCAATCATGGATCGAAATTCATGAATTTGTGGTCAATGAGGTAAAATATCCCTCAATGGATGCTTGAAGGACGTCCAAGAGCCAGCGAGCATATTCTACGGCAGGTGGAAACCCTATGCTGGTCACCGATGCCAGCATTGAGTCTGTCACACCGTCAAAGTAGCAGGGCTGAAGAAGAGATTAGCCAAAAAGGTGAAGGTCAGAAACTGCAATTTTGACAAAAGGTGTCTTTCACTCACCTATCATGAAAGGTGATTCAAATCCAAGTCCGAAGCTGCTGATGCTTATGGCATACAGGTTAATAATTAGCTGTTCAGTAGAGCTGTGTATGAAACTCAGCTTGCTACCTCAGAAGTGCTGGTAGGGATTCACGATGGCAAAGTGCAAATTCAGGAAATGCGGCATGAATGTATGTTGGGTGTTGACGGCGGAGCACCCATTGAGGGTGGTCTGCAGTCTTCTTCCAACACAGAAGTATTATGAATCAGATGAAGGAGTCACTGCACTTGTCTTGGAGAGTATAGAAGCCCCAACATTGTCAGTATGTGCCGGTTAAATGCACTGTGGTCCAGATGCATGAAGGTACCCTGTCGTGGGACGGCCGGCGCGCATCATGGATGGTATTTTGCTTAGTGTGGTTATTTCACGTAAGAGGATGCACTGCAAGTTGAAAGAAATGGAGCAGCAAGATAAGGTCTGCATTCTCATGCTCTACAATGCCGGCAGGCGGTCAAAGATACCCTACCGTTTGGAACCGCAGGTGACGACGTACAGAAACCAATACGTAGGGCAAGCTGCAAAACCAGTCTGCTTTCTCTGCATGTGACTTGCTTCAGATGTATCTTGATTTCCCATTGCAAGCTTATTGACACATTCAGGTCATATTTGTTGATGTTAGACCCTATTTTACTGACTTGTAACATTTTGTACACACTTTTTCTGGGTGAAAAAATGCATGCAAAGCAACCCCACACTGTGTCTCTCATGTTTGTGGTGTTCGATCAAGAAGTCCATACGTGGATAGAGGACATACATAGTGACAGAATGAGACCATGCACACTTCAAAACTCGCCAGGGCAACGGAATGATATCCTTTTT